GACCTGCGGACTAATTCATAAAATGCTTGTGAGTGATTTTCCCGTTCATATTGTGAAAATAATTCAATCATACATTACAGACAGACAATTTAACATTAAAATAAACAAGACAATAACAGGACCCTACACTGCGCAAGCGGGAGTACCCCAGGACTCAGTACTGTCGCCCCACTTGTACACCATTATGACCAATGACATGCCAATGGGTGATAATGGGGTACAAACGGCACTATACGCCGATGCCATCTGTCTTTTTGCTAACGACAGGTCAGCCGAGACAACAGTGAGAAAGCTGGACAACCATATAAACTGGGATTTAATCCCCTATCTAACAGAGAATAAGATGAAAATAAATGAAACAGAAACTAAGAGTATGATGATTATTAAACGACGTAGTCAGGGAATAATGACTCCTTTGAAAATAGGAGATCAGGAAGTCCCTACTACTAGCAAAATCAAATACCTAGGTTTTATGTTAGATAGGGGGTTAACATTCGACCTCCACATCAAGGACAGAGTGGCTAAAAATCACGTAGCCATTAAAACCCTCTACCCTATTCTTAATAGAAGAAGCCGAGTCACTCTGTCCAACAAACTCCTGATGTACAATACCATCCTACGCCTTATCCTAACATATGGTTGCCCAGTTTTTTGCTCAATAGTAAACTGTCATTATATAAAACTTCAAATAGCACAAAACAGGTGTCTTCGGCTAGCCCTGGGCTATGATCGTTATGCCAGAATCACAGTAATGCACCGACAAACAGATACAACACTAATCAAAGACTACGTACTAAAAACAGCCGAGAACTTCTACAAACGTTGTCTCACCGATGATGTTAGGAATAATATCCTAAACATACATCGAGGGGATGGCGTGCGTAGAAAGCACAGCTGTATACACGCCAAACTTGACATTTACAGACAATAACTAGACTAGACTAGAAGAATTTTTATTTACAAATGTTAAAACAGACAATAACATTCCTCCATAACGATCACAGACAAACTAAGTAACAGCTCACGCCGACTGGGTACTTGCACAAACCAGTCGGATGGGGACTGAACGGTAGACTAGCCATCGAGGCAACAACCGCGATTTTTGCGAAAATTGCCGCGATGGAAGGTCTATCGATCACTCAGCCAGTGAGTTGTACTAAACAAACATAGACCTAATCAACAAACGCACACACAAGGACAACCCTGTTTTTTCTAGCTTTTTCAGGGGACAATAACCAGAACAAAAACACGACAAATCCTTTAAATAACATTCCATTCCTGATTCTAAAAAAAACCCAAAACCCCCTAACAATACCGCTCAGGTAAAGAGTAAGGGCTGCTACGTTTACCAGAAATATTTAGTCGTAAATAAATATTGTAAATGGCGGATATACTCTATCCTCCATGGTCCGCTCGGGTTCGGATAAGTCTTGAATAAATCATTAAAATTTGAATAAGTAAGTCTCTGTGAATTCGGATTTGTCGCTACCTTATCTGAAACCTTATTTCATTATAATATCTTAATGGTTAGTGATTTTCTATATTTTTATCATTAATCGACAATCAAGTTTAGTAAGTTTTAAATGTAGTGGCGCTCAACATTCTTTTTCAAAGTAATACGAGTTGTTTAATAACCTGACCCACTCCCCAAAATCATAAGGGCTTAAAACACTATAAAAATAGATAAAATAACAAGATCACGTTTCAACTTTTTGAGTAACAGCTACTTGAAAATTTTGCTGCGCGAAAAAAAAGTTGGCCATATTATGGTTAGCTATAAAAAACGATTTTAGCCAAAAATTTTTCCCCACAAAACTGTAAAACTTTCGTCTGAAACGTTTTTTTTTATATAAAAGCGGTATATAGCTGTAACGCTTTAATTTGAACACCCGGTATAGTGTTATCTATAGAATACAACAAAAATTATAGATTTTTTGATTTTATTACGTCAAAAAGCTAATTTTGCAGTGGATGAGCAAATAGAGAGCTGGCCCACACTTCAAAAGTTACAACTTGATGGCGCCACCTATCAGTGTTGAAACTTAAAACTTGAATAGGTGGTTTGTGACTTGGCTAAGCGATTCAAAATGGTGGCTATCGTTTATCTAATAAACGACTATTGATACACGTTGAGGAGAAAATCATGCGCTGTGGCAATGCCAGAAGGACTTATGTCTATATCTCCGTTGCTGTTAATGTGATTCAAACAAAATATTGATTTTAAATTATAAACATTAGACAGTTTCCGTTGAATTCTGTTTTCCTCATTCGAATTGAACGATTAATGGTAGAGATATAGACTTAGTTCCTTTTAACATTACACCTGTTTTATTTTTTATTCTTCAACGTTAATCTATGCCACGTCTACCTCATAATGCTGTTTGTTCCATTTGAATCGGATCAATAACAATGAAGATATAGTCCTTCTGGCATGATTTTTCTCCTACGTTAATTTCTTTTACTATCGCGTTTTTTTTTTATTCATTCGATTTGGCCTAATAACAATAAAGATGTAGACTTAAGTACTTTCTGCATTATTACTGCACATGACTTTTTTCTTCAATGATATTCCCTTTTAAACCCTAAAATCAGATTCACGATACCATTACTCTACTTGGTGATCATTCAGAACCCCAAAACCCGCAAATTAAAATTCAAAATCTACAGTAAATGCACTATCGCAGGTTATTTGATTAATTTCTACTTAAAGTACCCTTTTTCACTGAGACATCATATTACTAATCTTTAAAATTCTTCTTTATTAAAGGATATAATATATTAATTTCAGGGTAGTAGTCTACGCCATTCCAAATCAAGAGGCCGCCAACTGTTGCAGATGTATTGATAAAAGAGTTTATCTGTTAATTTGGAGTGCCCTTGGAGATCCTCAGTGACCAAGGTAGAAATTTTAAAAGTAAAATCTTCTGTGGAAACTGTGACAGACTAGGCATGAAGAAAACCAGAACCATAGCATTGCTCCCACGATCCGGTGGCATGGTAGAGCGAATGAATAAGACCATTGGTAAAAGTGGTTTCAAACTATCAGCGAGATTGGGATCAGTATCTTCCGCTCTTTGCAATGGCTTATAGATCTGCAGGCCAAACACCAGCAAAGGTCTTTTTTGGGCGTGAGATGAGACTACCGTGCGACCTCGAGTTTGGATGCCGACCTGAAGAAGATGTAGCTGGTGAAGTTTATGTGATCCAGTTACGAAGAAGAATGGACGATATTTGTTAAAGTGTCTACGTAAAAATCCGTAAACGTGGCAACGCCGAGAAAGTTCGTAGATCTTGTGCGATTACGTAACCACCCTTCCCGCGCATCTCGGGTTAAAACAACAATCGTCACAGACACCAGACACGAGTCGAGCACGGAAAGTCAGCGGTAAAAGACACAACAGACATTTCATTTTTTCAGTTCGTTAGTTCATTGTTTCTTTTTATAAAACTTATGTTCATTTATTTTTAATACAGTCCATTGTTTGTCGTTTAGTGAAATAAATAGTTGTATTTTAATTACAACCGAAAAGTTATTTTACAATATGCATAAATTGGTCCGCTTGCGTCTTAAATTGCCAGCGATAGGATTAATAAACTGTACGATACTCAAGCTACAAGGAAGGCGAAAAAGTCTGGCTCCATAACCCAAAAAGACAAGGATTATTTTTCGAAGCTTCAAAGGTCTTGGCAAGGTCCGTACTTCATCAAGAATAAAGTTAATGATGTAATTTACCGTATAAGTAAGATCCCAAACGGTAAACCGAAGGTAGGACATAGGAACAGGCTGGCGCCATTTGAGCGTGCCCATGAAGAGGAAGTAAAACAACTTCAAGAAACACCTGACCTTGTCTTTGAAGAATTTATAGGTGCATATGGAGGTACTGGAAAAGCAAGATATGGTGTTATGACGGAGCAACAACAAGATCTGCTCTCGCTTCCAAAAGACTACTCGCTACTAGCATCAACGATGCGCGAGGACTGGCATATGTGTTCCGTAAGAAGTTTGTTCGACTGCTAGAACTTGGAAAAGCCTTAAAACTTTAAAACGAATTGCGATACCTTTTATATATTGTAACAAAGAACAGCTTCCGAGATCGATCCACTTATTATGATGTATGGGAAGCATTACTTAGTTTAAGGGAGCACGTACTGGAGTCCAATGTACAGAAACTAGCCATGTCGAAGATAGAAGGAAATTAGCTGGATTGGAGGATAATTAGGAACATAATGGAAGTAGTCTGCAGCCATTCGCCCAGTGTCCAGGTTACAGCGAAGATATTCCCTTGTTACTTCCATGCAACTGGAAATCGTTAAAGAGGGTTTAGTTGCAGATACAACCATTCCGTTTTAGTTTCGTTAGAGTTCCAGGAGGAACTATCTCTTAAGAAGGGGGCAATGTATTGAGAAACATTTCATTATTCAGTCATACTCTAATTCTTCAATTTCCTGTCTGTCTTATTTGACCTTTAAGGCTCAATCTGTCCAATTATCATACATAATTAAACCCCTTAAGACCAAACATGTGACGACTATGGCGAAGGCGCTTTCGATTACGTTCCAGGAAACCACCAGAATTTTTAATGTGTATAAAAATATTGGTGCAGGAACACGTAGCAGTCAGTCAGTCGTATACGAATAGTTGTGAAGATAAATAGTGAACAATTTATAGACATTCGAAATAGATATAAATTAGAACAATATTGTTTTAAAATAAATAAGTGTTCAAATAAATTATTAACAAATATACTGTTGTTTAAAATAAACAGACGTAACAGTATATTTTATATTTACTATATTGTATTGATTTTTATTTATTTTATTATTATAACTACTATTATTGTTCAAAACCTACCTATCCACTAACGTTAAATTTGTACACAAGTTCTAAAATGAATATGTTCCTTAAAAAGTTATATTTTTTATAAATAAGCAATTTAATTTATTGTTATAAATAATAGGTTTACATTTTCCTGGTGCAAATATTATATAAAGAAACTTACGATAATTGCCGCCAAGTAGGAAATTTCGAAAAAAATTTGCTGTTTGTAATCTATATTTTCGGACAAATTCAAAATATAATCAGTACTATCTATAAATGATACAAATGTCATGATTAAAAACCATAAAACTTTCTTTCCGAAAATTGCATTTACATTCCAAATTATTGATACATAATATCTGTATGTAGTTTTAAACGTTTTAAATTTGTCATTAATTCCGTTTTTTGTGCGATAAGGATTTTTACTTAGTTGTTGAATCCAATCGCAAAATATTTTTTCTCTAGTTTTCAGTATGGTCGCAATTTCCAACAAAAAACCGGCTACAGCAAATATTTGTAATAAGAAAATTAGACAATAACAACCATATAGAATATTTGGGATATCTGATAACCAAAATCTTAAAGATGAAAATAGAGCCATACATAAAAGAAGTAACCATACTGCCACTTTCCACAATATTTCAATTTTGGAAGTCACCTTATAACAGTTCGTAATCTTTTGCAAGTACAAAAGTTGTTTGTATAATGTCTTCCAAGTATCTTTTTGTTTACAAAGATAATAAACTGTCATTAAATTAAAAGTCGAATAAATTAATAATAGCGCAGTTGTGAATATAGCAACATCAAAACGTTCAAATCTTGTTATAATAAAATATCCTGATAGAGTAATGCCCAATGTAAGACATGTTGTTACAAATTTTTGATAAAGGTCTTTTCCATTTCGTGAGATAGAAGGAAATTGTCCCAATAACGCGCCAATGCGTTGCCAACAATTTAAAATAAAATCATCTTCATACTTTTGAGAATATTCTAGAACAATGTCGCTCATTTTGAATTTATTTTACGACTACACAGCTTCGTGTTCTACACAACTAATCAGGTATTGCGTTTAAAAAAAAATAATCATTGTCAACACGTTAATTTATTATTCATGCGGTATCTAAATAAAATATGTATTAAAATGTATTATTATTTTAACGTTACAAGAATTATGAATTTAATATTGCGAGACAAAAAACATTATGGATAAATACCTAATTAGAATTTTTCTACTCACCTATAGTTTTGCTCGTACACAATTTTTCTTTTTCCAAATTTAAATATCAATACATGGATAAAAAAAGTACCGAGAGTTATACATTGAGAATATAATAGACTCTTTTATGATATAAATGGATTATCTTTGATCAATAATCAGTTTTACCTTAGTGAGTAGAACTTTATTATTGTGTGTTATTTGAACTTGTGGTTATTTTGAATTGGTTATTTAAAGTAGCTTTAGTTCAGATACCCATTTAAGTGTATTTTATACTTAATAAAAAAATTTAAAAATAAAAGTTCCATTTTGGAATTTATAACTGGCGCAGTCAGTAGGATACACGCGAGTTGTGAAAAAGTTTAATCGAGTTCGCTGTTGCCGGGCCGAATATTAACTTTTCGTGACTTTGGAATTTTAATTCCTCAAGTGTGGTTCCTAACGAAGAATTGGTGGACGTCATCCTTTTTGTGGCGACAGTCTAACCTCCAATCGTCGATTATTGGACATCAGCCCATGTTGGGACATCCGAAACGACAATCAGAAAGCAATTGAAGAAAATAGTAAGTGCCAAATATCCTTTAATTTCCCTTTCCTTTAATTTAGAGGTATTAAAAAAATTGTATTATTATATAATTTTGAAACTATTTTATATTGCATTTTGAATATATTTTATGAGTGAATCAGAAATTGATACTTTGTTAGAGCAATTTGCAAATATATCGTTACAAGATAATAAATCAGATAGTGTAGGAAGTAATTTAATCATGACACCTCCAGTAGTTGAACGTAGACAAGTGAATTGGGACCTTTTTAAGTCCAAAATAGATAACATAAAAACTTTTGATGGTGATAGTAATTCACTAAATAAATTTATAAATATATGCGAAAGTTTGATTGATACTTATAGATCATATAATGACCCAGAATTGGATGCACATATAATAGAATGTATCCAAGAAAAATTAGTAGGAAACAGAATTGAAATTAATACTTGGATAGGTTTAAAAAATGCTTTGTTACAATGTTTCTCCGATCGAAGAGATTTAGATTGCTTAGTGCAAGAATTGACGCGTAGCAAACCCCACAAAGGTGAACATTTAATAAATTTTGCGAGTAGATTACAGTTATTAAGAAGTAGTGTTATTCAGCGAATAAGTAATGCTCCAAATTTAACCCCAATGGAAAAACAAATTCAAAGTAATCATTATGCTAAAACGGCTCTAAATACATTCGTTGCAGGATGTACGGGAACACTAGGGTGGCCCTTAGTTACTCTTGGTAAAAAAAAAGAATTATTTTTGTTGCGCTACCTCCCCGTTTAGTGCTATTAGATGAAAAAAAAAATGTGTGCAAAATTTCAGCTCTATCTGATAAAGGGAAAGGGTGTCCCAAGAGCCTTGATAATATCTGTTTTATTTCTTATGTTGAGAAATATTAATTACATGCAAAAAGTATACAAAAGTTTTTAGAACTGAAAATCACTTCTCTTGCTACAAATCCACGCTCTGTAACACAGAACGAAAGTCTATAAATCAACAATATACGCTTTACCAAAGCGGGGTGTGACAAACCAAATAAAAAAGAGGGGATAAGGCAACGTGTGGTGGCTTCAAAGAGGTTAGAAAGGGTAGAGGTAACATAGGAAGCATTTCTCGCTGCGCGAATTTTGCCAAAACCGAAAAACTGGGTGGAAGGAGTAGGGAGATGTTCTGGGCCGGACTTAAATATTTGTATTGTAGTACCTAATTTTGGTGGGTAATTAAAAGATGAAAAATTATGAGACGTTTGTTTGACTTTGTTTGTTAGCACGATTCATGTATGATGAGGGCAATAACACTTTATTAATATATAACTAGCTAATGGCCGATTCCACCGTTGTGTCAAACGGAGTTTAAATTATTAAACGAAGATTAAAATGAAATTGTTAATGTAAAAATGTCATTTTAAACTCCATTTAGTAATTTAAACTTCGTTTTCGTTAATATAAAAATGTCATTTTAATCTTCGTTTAGTATTTTAAACTTCGTTTAACAAAACGGTGAAATCGACCCTAAGTAAAAGTTTATAAGTACTTTTTGCTCGAATTACACACAAGATTTTTTCTACGATCACACCAAAATAAAATAAATAACTAAATTTTATAAGAAATTGGTTACCTTTTCGTTCGTTATAATATTTTGTTTATTTGACATAGGCCTACTGTTTTGGTACTTATATCCTGGTAATTATTTATGATTTAATTATTTACGGAAAATACCGTTCAATGAATTAAAATATTAGAAAGTCAATTAATAGTTATTTATATAACCAGTTACGATATGCCTTAGTTTGTGTAACGAGTAAATATTTGCAAACGAGCGGAGCGAGTTCCCGCAACATGAACGACTTACACAAAACGGCATTTTGTAACGTGTTTATATACAAGATTTTTTCTAATTTTGACTTGATTATTTATAAAATTGTGTTGAAAAATGATTCACCATCATTCTTGTGTAGGTACTTCCAATCAAATATTTTAGAAAATTGTTGTATTTGATTGCCCTACGACGTTTTTTTTTCAATAGTAATAATAAAAATTAGGGACATATGCAGTGTTGCCGATCTAATTTTTGACATTACCCGCGAGAAAATTGAAAAAAAAAAAAACATGTTTACCCATTAGCCTTAAAGAAGTACGTCAAAATTTTACCCCCAACATTTCTGGGCAGTTTTCAATAACGGTGTTATTTTAAAAATTAAACGCAATTTACAGCTTTTCTTTTTTTGTTTTCTTTTTTGTTTTTAAACGTAATGTCATATTTTCAAATGTGAAATGTCACTATTCATTGCCTCTTTTTCGATATTTGGTTTTTTCGATTTTTCGTTTTTTGGATTTTTGGATTTTTCGATTTTTTATTTTTAGATTTTTCGATTACTCGATTTCTCAATTTCTCGATTTCTCGATTTCTCGATTTCACGATTTTTCAACTTAGAAACCAAAAAAGAGGCAGTTTTATTTATTTTCATTTCGTAACTGGTGACATAATCAACTTTTCGTAATCAGTTGCATAATGTTCTACTTTATGCAAATGTCCATATAAATATTCATTAAATCTATTTAAGCCAAAAATTATTGCAAGGGCCTCTCTTTCAATTTGGGAATATTTTTGTTCGGACTTTGATAAGGTACGCGAAGCAGAAGCTATAGATTTTTCATTATTTTTTTTTTTTTTCAAGAACATGACATATTATTATCATGGCCCTTATTCCCACATTTGATGCATCTACGAATAATTTAATCGGCAACTCAGGCTGAAAATGCACAAGAGCATCATTTATTTTTGATTTATTCCAAAGATTCCTTGCAAAAATTATCCCAAATCCATTTCACCCATAAAAAATTAAATAAAAAAAAGTCCTAAAGCAAAATCATATCCTCCTTCCTGTTAGTGACTTAAAAAAAATACTTCCCAAAAAACGGTCCTCAAGCCAGGTTCCTCCATTTTGTGGCGATAGTACTGTTTTTTTTATTGTGATTATTTTCTTTGCGGAAACTTTGGCTTTACACTTTGAGTAAAACTGTTATAGAGAATTACTAAATAAATAGTTTTGAGAAAACTATTGAAACCAGTTGTGAAGTTTGAAACGAATAGATTGGCAATGAAATTGATATTTTTGTATTTGATTGTAGTTTCTCTTTTCACTTCCTAAAAAAAGATTCCCTATGAAACAAGAAATAGTAAACAGTTTATAATAATAACCTTTATTTGCTACTTATAACATGTACCAATAACCAAGTCCGATTCTGTTTATTTTCAAATCAACAAATATGGACGTCGACAGAATCTTTAAAAATTAAATATCTCACCGAAATAAATATAAGTTTCTTTTATCTCCGTCACATTTCGCAGGTTTATTATAAATAAAGCTTTTTACAACACATCTTGGCATTTTCAACGTTAATTTCCAAAATTTAAGTCAGTAAAATACCAAATTAATTCTCGTTGACACATTAAATTTGGATGGATAACGGTCTGACATGTGATGTTCTCAACTGTGATTGGTGGGTGTGAATCATTTTGAAATGGGATTAT